GGTCGAAGTGTTAAATCAAAATGCACTGATTTAGTTTTGATTTATTTTTATTTTCCACTTTTTGGCCAGTTTTTCTGAGATCTCTGTATTAGTTCCTCCAACTGCCAATATTGCAGTGTCATCCGCAAATGTTGCCATTTTACCACATTGTTGTTGAGAGATATCGCTGGTGTATAATAAGTAAAGAACCGGTCTTAGCACACTGCCTTGTGGGACACCTGCTTTAATTTCTTTCATTTCAGAGTATATTTCGTCTTTACTCTAAACATTCTTCTCGTTAGATATGATTGTAGAATGTCGACATATTATCTAGGGGGCATTTTTTAAAGTTTCTGTAGCAAGCCAGCGTGCCAAACCTTGTCAAATGCTTGGGTTACGTCAATAAATATAGCTGAGACTAGATATTTTTCTTCGTAAGCTTTTTCGATGACAATAGACGAGTGTTTGTTTCTAAAACCCAATTGGTGCGAAGGGATTAGATTTTCAATTATTGGTTTTAGCCGATAATCTTAAAACAAAATTTAATTAAATTGTTTGATAAAACAGAAATGAAATACAAAAACCGAAGATGGCACATTAGCTTTACAAGTTAAGTCTATTGTCACGATTCGTATAAATTCATATTTTTCCTAATTTTAATTAGTTATTTAAATAACATCCTGTACATAAAACTTTGTTTAATTATGTCAACAATTTGTTATAAATAGCAATAATGTGCACGGTTGGTTATTTAATAATTATTAAACATTAGCTTTAATAACAATAAACTATGAGAAAGTGATAAAGGTAATGTCGAGGGGATGCAAAAGGTTTTTTTCCACAGGGAACTTATCCTCCCCATAGGAGGTCCCCCTTGTAGGAGATTCCCTGTAGCAGCTCCAGCTTAGACCTTCATAGTCTAATTTAAAAGTCTATTTTTTATTTTGAATAATTACATTTTTAAATAGTTAGCTATAGGTTGTGACATGTGACCAAATATTATAATTATTTAAAACACGTAAATCGTGACATTTCTTTATAAAAACACGTATAACGTGACACTATGAATATAAAAAATAATTAAAATATGCAAAGAAAACAAAATACAATTTTTCAAAAAGTGTGGTTTTTGGAAAGAAATAGGTCACTGGTGTAAAGAATTGCTTTCAAGAATTAAAAAAAAATCTATAGTGTAATGAAACTTCGGGGTCTGGAAATGGCAGCGTTCAGGCTTTAACATGTGATCTTCATAAAGCTGTTAAAGATTTACAAAATGAAAATAAGGTCTGGTTTGTTCACTTCGGAGCAAGTGCTCACATGTGCTTACCACATCTGCTACCACAAAGAGCGGTTTAAATCTCTGAGGCCTATAATATGATAAAATTGTAGTAAGGATAGCTAATAATGAGATATTTGAGCCATTTGCTGTTGGATACATTCTTATCAAAGCTTTTATAAACGGGAAACGGCATAGCAAAATTCTGACCGATGTTTTATACCTAAATTAAAAAGAAACTTACTTGCTGTAGACGAAATAACTGAAAAAGGCTATACTATAGATGCCAATAACGAGATATCTATTTTTTTTTTAACTCTTATGGAGATATAGCTTGTATTGGCTTAGAATAAGGTTTTCTAAAATGGTAATCAAAGTAAATGCATCTGTATATGATTATAATAGTTTTCAACTATTACAATAGATTAGGACATAGATTAGGACATATTAATGTAAATTTTAATTTAAAAGAATAAATCTATTGAAGTAGCGATGATGAAATGTATTTTGTGAAGGCTATCAGTTTGACAAACACACTCGAAAACCAAAAGATTAAAATCTACGACGTGTGGTGAATTTATTCATTCTGATAACTGTGGACCAATAAATAAAACTGCTTCAAATTATCCCAAATATTTCCTGTTATTTAAGGATAACTGTACAGGTTACAGAAATTATTTATTAATGAATATTAATGAAACCTTTTAAATTCAAATAAGTTTAAAGATTAGTCAAAAAGTAAAGAGGAAATATTATCAATATATGGTACAGAATTTTTAAATACTACCATGAAGACGTATATAATGTCAATCATAAATGGTCGTGTTCTCGCCCATCATAATGCGTTGTGTACCTAACACCGAAGTGGTTACCCCCCTCAGTACATAACAAACCCATTTGAGAAACACTTCTAGTCTTATATGCTCTAAGTATTTAACTATCAACAATTTTACTAATGTTTTTCAAATTTCTGTGGTTACTTTCGTAGTCTGTCACCTCTGACTGATTTTCTGTCCACGGTATCAATTTGGAATGTCATTCCTTTACACCCAGACAAGCAAAGTTTCAAGAATTTCTTATTTTTACACTTTTGACTTTTTTTTACCGCATAGCGAGATCTAGACGCCACTGATTTAAATTCCCACCATCGAATTTAAAATATGGCAATGACTATAAGAATACCTTCACACGTATACCTGTGACTTACATTTACTCTTCACTCTTAAAATATAGTGTACTCAATCGATATAAGTCCCAAAACGTTTACACAAGGCACCTCAAGTGATACTAATATACTCCTTTTTCATTCTGGTCAACCAGTTTTCTATTTGACAGGTAAATTTCAAAGAATTTTTGTGGAAACTCTCGCATACCTTTATAGTCCAAGATATCTAAAGATTACAAATGGCTCATAGTATCAAACGCCTCTGCTAAATCAAATAGTACTATTCAATTACCGCTGTAACTGGGCTATAACTGGCGTTGGAAGAATGTAAAAACAAAAGCGGGTCTTCCCAAATGTTCATCAAGCGTAACATTGAAGTACACGGAGAGAGAAAGAGTCCGAAAAAACAATAACGAAAGGCGAAAAAAAAGAGCTGAAAGAATGGTTAGATTTCTGATTGTGAATTTTTCTTAAGTAATTAAGTTTTGGAAGTTGGTATTGTTATTTTATTTTTGAAAAACAATAGACCTTTGTGGACGAGACAATATATATTTACTTGAATTTATCGCTTTTATTCTGGGCGAATTTTATTTTTAAAGAGTCGGGTAATTTCAGATTATTGTTCTCGGAGAAGAAGAAGAGGTTGGCAGTGGTTCAGCTATCTATTTTCTTTTAATATTATACTAATAAAGTTTGCTTGAAAATGTTTGATATCAGTAATAATTCAATAAGATTATACAGAAATTTGAGTCTACGTAAGTAGACGGCATATACAAATTTTTTATTATTAATATTAGGAAAAAAAGTTATTCTTCATAAAAACTCGAGCATGGTCTAAAACCTAAAACACAACCTTTGGATATCAAATTTTATTAGTCGTATACGATGTTTGTCAACAATAAAGGTACTTTACTCTTCAGCAAAAAATCATATTTTTTGACAAACCTCATATACGGCATAAAAAAATTGATATTTGATGGTTGCATTTTAAGTTTTGGACCATACAGAACTTTTTATCCAGAATAAATTTTTTTACAAAACCAATAATAAAAAAAAAGTTTTTCATGTGGTTCCAACTTAAGTGAACACGCTATATATAGCGACATTTTTCTGTACCAGGATTGGCTTAAATAAAAACGACATCTTTTTACCTGTCATTCAGGAAACACTAACTTTATTTCTTTATGAATTGAAGGTTCAAAATCTGCGGTGATGGTTTTAGGTGAAAAACCTAAAATGCATTTTAGACAGTCTTCTTTTATATATTCAAAAACAAACTTATACGTAGTGTTGCATTTATAGGGCAGTAAAAAACAATGCCCGTTTTGTAAACCATTTATTGTAAATAAATGTAAAAAATACTTTGGGCAATATTGAAAGGTTCCATCTACATATAAATCCGGTAACTGGACTAAACATTGTAAATTACAAGAAAATATTGGTATGACATTCATTTGTCAACAAAAAATTTACATGTTTGTGTGTTTCAATAGTATGATTAAAATTATAAAAATCCTTAATATTCTGGGGCAATTTAGAATAAACTGAAGTTTTAGCTTGGTAAATATTTTTCTTACTCTTTCTATGTCATGTGAAGTAATAATAATAATTTATTTTCCACAAAAAAATATAAATATAAGAACAGAAGAACAGAAGAAAGGTAATTTACGTAATCCCTGTTTATTTAGTGAGTTGGTAGTTTTCTTTTTAACATTTTTTTAACCATTTTTTAACAATTTTTTTTTATTTTTTTTTTAACAATTTTTTTTACATATTTGTTTTATTTTTTTTTTAACATGGTATTTAATATCTTTTTTTTACATAGCTTAAGTTTAAGTTTTTATATATTCGTTTTTTATAAATATTCAATAATCGTATCTAAGTCTTAATATTTTGTACTGAATTTATTATTGGATTAAAATTACCCAGAAGTGATACATGTAAAGATTGCGATTCTTTGCATATTCAAATTGATGGAAACAAAGATAATGAAACTGAGTAAGCAAAATTTAAGCTTGAACTTGAGTTACATCAAAGAAGGGCCAGTGCTATGCAAAACAGCTTAAAAGTTGTTCAACAAACGGGATCTGCAGATGTCATTACCTTTGACCTCCAACAGGCACTACCCACTACAAATTTAACTGTTGGTCCAGCTTTTTATCTCCGTAAACTATGGACATATAATTTTGGGATACACGATTGTGTAAACAATAAAGGGTATATGTATATGTGGAGTGAAAACATAGCAAAAAGAGGAAGTGATGAGTTATGTAGGTAGCATGCTTCTAAGACATTTCAAGAACCACCAACTAACCTCGGAAGAACGCTTCGTTTACAGCGATAACTGCGGAGGCCAAAACAAAAATTGGTTGGTAATGGCTTTCTGGCTAAATCTCGTGTCAAAAGTGTACAAACAAATTGACCATTAGCTGGTCATACTCATTTGCCGTCAGATCGAGACTTTGCAATCATAGAAAAGTACAAAAAAAATGCAGCCAGTTTTTGTGCCTAAACAATGGTATGATGCATTAAAAAAAGCGAAACGAACAAACCCTTTTAAAGTATATGAAATCAGAGAAAATGATTTTTTTTCGTTTAGGAGCCTTTTCAACAACATTAAAAAAAAACATATGCGACGACAAGCAATTACTGAAATTTTCTAGTGTAACATGTTTTCGTTTTGATAGTGAATTTCCAAATACTATGTTTGTAAAACATCTGTTTAATGAAGAATTCCGTTCAATTAATATAGGTAAAAGGGGACAAAGGTCATTCCAAAACATTATGCAATTGCAACTGGAACCTAAATATGAGGAATCCATACAGATAAATGGTAAAAAACTGTCCAATTTAGTGCAACTATTGCCTTATATACCTCCTGTATATCAATTTTTTTATAAAAATCTTAAAGGATTTAATAATATGGATTTGGCGGATAATGCTGATGATAATGATATGCTAGAACATCTGGATGTTGATGACAATGAGATAGATTAGTTACTTACACTACTGTCTTTTTTATATATCAAGCATTTTGTATTTATTTCTACCGAAAATAAATATTTCTTTTATAAGAGTATCTGTTTTTTTTGTAGTAAATATTGTAAATATTTTGTTAGAACAATGATATATGCCACAGGCTCAGTTACGACTTTTAGTGGAATAAGGTTACAAGCCACATGTTTTTCACTAAAAATCAAAATATTCTTTTCACTAGTAATACCACTAGAGGTCAAATTATTTCCGATATTTCCTGATATTAATTTAACCTCGCGAGGTATTCGGTAAGAAAATTCCACGCCGAATTATGGTTGAAAATTAAATATTTTTAAAATTTATTTTTCGTTTCTCAACAATGCAAATTATTTTCTCCAAGTCACCAGTGAAACATAAAAGGTGTTGTCGCCTTGATTGTTGAGTTGTCATGGTAACTAAGTGAGACCCTAACCTCGAATATAATTTCAGTTTTGAAGTTGTCAAGCGGCCCGACGTAAAAAAATGTTTCGCTGCAATTATTTAGGCCTTCAAATTGCTTATTTCTACTCATTGTAGTTGCATGGGAATACCATTTGAAAATAGAAAATAGTATATTCTTTAATTTTACGTAAGTTTTGAATAACCACAAGTGGTAGAAAATTTTTTTTCTGCGTTTTTATTAACATGCGTTATGAGCGCTTTAAAATGGTATGAAATTCATAACCAGCGTCAGCAAGCATCAATCGTAGGAGGCTGTGATCATTGTATTTTGACAGTTCAAAACATTAAATAACTCGCGTTTTGTTGCGATAAAGAATATTGCACAGCAAGTAAAACCAACAAAATTACCTATTTGTTTAAAAATGAATCGATTTGAAAATCATACGCTATGCAAAATATGCGTAAAATTGTCTGATGTAATGATCAATCATTGCACCATGACTTATTTACTCGGATTAATAGAGGATTGTGGCTCCAACTTGAAAAACGAAAATTTGTTCCGAATTGTACACGAATATTTGCAGCTAAACTACGCAAAATTCAAAGAGCTGAATGGGAAAAAGGTTAATAAATTAGTGTCTAAATATTATATATATATTTTATTAGACATAGACTCATAATTCAAAGCATCCAAAATCCTGCATTTTCGCCATTAAGAAGAAAAGAAGTGGCCGAAGAATATAGAAAACACCTTAGCATTGTAACTAAAATGTATCAAAACTAAACCTATTATGTGAACAAATAAAAACCAGTCTGTCAAAAATGGTCTGTTATTGTAAACGTCAAAAAATTTCCAGTATAATTCGCTGTTGGGTACCCCACGAGAAAAAAATTTCCACTAAAATACCTCCGTTGCCATGGTGATCTGTCAAAAATACGTATTTTGATTGGTTCAAAATTACAGGTGTGGAATTTTCAAATTAATTTTAATAAAAGTTTTTTTAAATATAACATTTGCATTATAGAGCTATAAACAAAAAGTTCTTAGAATCCTACAAAATTCAGAGATATTTAAACTTTCACCTAAATATTTAAAACTTAATTTCCCATGAATTAACAATTTGTGGCTTACATCCTTATTATCATGAGCTCTTCAATTAATATCGACGAATTCGAAAAATTTTAATATTGCTAAGGTATTCCAGAAGATAATATTAAAATATACACTTATTTCTTGAAAATTCGTTATTTTTAAAAATGAATAAGGCTTTCAAGAAAACATGTCAACTTCTGATGCCATAGCTGACTTGATCGGAAAAATAAATAGTTATTTCGGTAAAAACATCCTCCATCACCATATTCATAGATTTAGCCAAATAAGCGTTTGATACGTTGATATGGTAAATCATAAAAAAATATCTGTGCTCCAAAATGTAGGTCTCAGACGAGTAACTTGCAAATTTAAACAAAGCTACATCACTGATGGAACAATATATGCATATTGCTGGAAATGTAAGTAATCCTAATTAAATACGGAGTTCCTCAAGGAACAGTGTTAGGTCCCATACTTTTCATTATTTATTGAAATAATTTATTTTTCAAAAACTTGCTAAATCACTGTAAGTTTTTAAATTAGATGAGCATACCAAGTTGAAGTAATAACAGTGTAAACAGAGTTAAAATTTCCACTTAAACTCCATGTGAACGTACAATGATAATAAACGTCCATAATAGTATTCGTGTTTAGTGTAATTATTGAACAATTCTACTTTAAAATTTTTCGATACACTTTTTTTATTTTTGATCAAAATACTGTTGACAGGAAAGTTTTGCTGTTCGAAAACTTGTTAATTCATTTAGTTGACAGGTATAATATGTCTGTCAAGAGTACTAAAACAACTAAAGGAGATGATGAGCGCAAGCGGCACAAGCAGTGCGGTGCACAAATACTATTTACTATTTAATAATTAAAATTAATAACAATATCCATAAGATCTATTTTACGTATATTTTAGATTGTTTAAAATAATTTCTGTAAAATTTAGATGGGATACTTGCATATTTTTGACAGTTCTGCAGCCCTACAGCATTTATGCACCAGTTGCCAGTGGTAAAACCAGAAATTCTGCAAAGTAATTTTTACAACTTATTTATTAAGTATAAATAATTTTTGTGTATAAATATGTTTTAACTAGTTGCGAAACCCGGCGTTGCACGGGTTAAAATATACACCGCATGTTTAATGGTGTAAAAAATACATGAAGACACATTTTTAATGTAGATATTATAGATTCCTATCTTAGATATTAAAACTTATGACCTTTCTCGATCATTATAGAATTTTTATGAACTTTCTGGAACGTTCCAGAATGATAATAACCGATTTTACACATTTTTGAACTTTCTAGATCATTCCAGAAATTTTTAGAATTTTCTGGATCCTTTCAGAATGATAATAACAGATATTATTAATTTCGGAACTTTCTAGATCAGTCGAGAAATTTTTAGAATTTTCTGGATCGTTTCAGAATAATAATAACCGATATTATTAATTTCGGAACTTTCTAGATCATTCCAGAAATTTTTAGAATTTTCTGGATCGTTTCAGAATGATAATAACCAATATTATTAATTTCTAACTTTCTAGATCATTCCAGAAATTTTTAGAATTTTCTGGAACGTTCCAGAATGATAACCAATATTATTAATTTCGGAACTTTCTAGATCATTCCAGAAATTTTTAGAATTTTCTGGAACGTTCCAGAATGATAATTAATAGAAATTTCTATTTAATAGAATATTTAGATGCACATCACTTACATTTAGCTCTTTTAGATCGATTATCATAATACTCATACACATTTCGGACCTTTCTCGATCATTATAGAATTTTTATGAACTTTCTGGAACGTTTCAGAATGATAATAACCGATTTTACACATTTATAAACTTTTTAGATTATTCCAGAAATTTTTAGAATTTTCTGGATCCTTTCAGAATGATAATAACCGATATTATTAATTTCGGAACTTTCTGGATCATTCGAGAAATTTTTAGAATTTTCTGGATCGTTTCAGAATAATAATAACCGATATTATTAATTTCGGAACTTTCTAGATCATTTGAGAAATTTTTAGAATTTTCTGGATCGTTTCAGAATGATAATAACCGATATTATTAATGTCGGAACTTTCTAGATCATTCCAGAAATTTTTAGAATTTTCTGGATCGTTTCAGAATGGTAATAACCAATATTATTAATTTCGGAACTTTCTAGATCATTCGAGAAATTTTTAGAATTTTCTGGATCGTTTCAGAATAATAATAACCGATATTATTAACTTCGGATCTTTCTTGATCATTTGAGAAATTTTTAGAATTTTCTGGAACGTTCCAGAATGATAATAACCAATATTATTAATTTAGGAACTTTCTAGATCATTCCAGAAATTTTTAGAATTTTCTGGATCGTTTCAGAATGATAATAACCAATATTATTAATTTCGGAACTTTCTAGATCATTCCAGACATTTTTAGAATTTTCTGGAACGTTCCAGAATGACAATAACGGATAATATTAATTTTGGAACTTTCTAGATCATTCTAGAAATTTTCAGAACTTTCCCGAAGTTCTAATGAGTTAGAAAAGGACAGATATATATCTTATCACATTTTTGCCTCCCACAACCACCCTTTTCCACCCACCGCGCCCAAACTCCCTTACTTCCTTCTAGGACCCAAGGGGTGTTTACCACCCCAATGGTGATGTTGTTGGAGTTGGTGGTGATAAAGAAAACCGGTCACACACATATTCTACGCTAGCATTTTATATATATATTAAGATTAGTTATGTTTGGTTCTTTGTTCCTATAAATTGCAATGTTTCTGTTCTAAAAATTTATAATTATATACATAAAACAAACTTATTTTGTTTCTGGAGTTATTATGGCTTTAAAATGCCCACGTTTTTGACCTGAGTTCAAAAATATAAAATATCTTCCCCAAAATTTTAACGAATGACCACAATACATTTTTGGAAAAGGGAAGAAAGGGACTTAATTCTGCTTAAAAGGGCCATTCTTTTCGGCAATTTCGAAAAAAAAAAAACATACATTTGGAAACTATGTCAAAAAAAACTTGAAGCAAATGTAAGAAGTTTAGCATCAAGTTGAAATGTGTTACTTTATAGCAGAAACAAAATTTCAACTTTAAAAAAAAATTAGGGCTGAATAAAAAACTATAATAGGTTGACAAATATAACTCCAAATATTTTAATCCGGGTTATGGCTGCATTAAAATGTAAGTATTGGAGACGAAATAGCGCTCTTTTATTAGGAGACGAAAATATCGTTTTCTGCAGAAATTATTTAAAATTTTATTTATCTTAAAAAAAATAAACTTAAATTCAACAAATGCTAAAAAATATAATATATATTACCCGCCACTGAATATCCTCTTTCCTTGTTCGACCTACTGAACTTCCTATACGGTTCAATCGCTCATTCATTGACATTCGAATCTGAAGTATTATGTTGCAATGTTGACCCAGTCTAAGATAATTCTCAAGAAAAACACCAAGA